CATATGTAAACTTTGGAGTCGGTAGTGTGCATAAAATTATGAGACAGATAGTGACTGCGCGTTCAAAAATTGCGGCGTAATGTGGCCTCAGTGCATTAGCTGCCTCTTCGGTGCTTTGTACTTTACCACCTGTCGTGAATAGCGGAGGGATTCCATGCTTCACTTCACGAAGACTGTTGACATGCCTATACAGCAGTTTGCTATTTGCCAGGATTGTTTTGACTAGGCACTGTTGATAAGTTACTTTGTCATCACGGATGTGAAGATACTACACTTAGATGCCCATCGCTTAGCGATCGGTCGAGCTTAACGATTTTGTGCTAACAGTCTGAAAGCTGATCGATCACCGCAGAGGCGAACTGAAGGATAACATGCAAATGATTTAGATCAACGTTGGACGAAACTCGAACACTGGCCAAAAATATAATAGAAAGGATATTTGTTCTGCATTTCTGATGGATTCTAATCGACTCGATATATAAAATAAGTTTACGTTCTATGTATAATGAATTTCTGATGGAGGTCCAAACTTTGATTTTTGAGGCACTTAGGGTTAATTGACATGGTGACAAAGGTGCTAAGTTATCGATCTCGCTCGCATTTGATGAACAATTCATTGATCTCACTGCCGCTTTCTTTACAAATGACAGCAGGCACATTATCGGATAGATGGGGGTGCGGAAAGCGGACTGGATAGATTTCGCTACGCTGATCGAGTTAGATTAATGTCCGGGATCATATCAATTAGCGATGTATAGTTACTGCATCGGCGAGGATGCGGGACGGATGTTAGAAGCATGGAACTTTTGCGATTATGACCAGAAACCGGATGTTTTAGAAATGATCGAGAGGTTTGGTGCATATAGTGAAGGTCGATCAAACCACTTCACTCGCTGCTTCCGATCGCCTAACATTAGCTTACTTAACATTGAAAGTCGGCAAGAAAAGCATGAGATTTCAATAAATAACAGGTGGGATCGCGCAGAGAGTAGACAGATTATTGCGACATCATCAATTCAAGACAACTAGTACGAACACAAGCTGCTCCTGGAGCCATTGTAAATTTGAAACCCATTATAATTTCTGCTAAATGTTGGCGAGCCCATCTTCCAAAGCGATTACAGCGGAAGGCAACGCATCAAACACAGTCCAAGACTTACTCAATCTCTAGAATATGTAGAGGATGTATGTTTAAAACCGACGCGTAGAGCTGAAGGGCGTCATAAGAGAAGAACAGCTGAGAGTCAGGAAAGCAATGGAAGCCATCGAGTGCGCCTAAAAAATTACACTGGGGGCAGTCTCTTTAACTTGAACAGAAACCGGCTGTCCAGAACAAGCCAACTAAGATCATAGCCCAAGTTTGAAAGCTCTCCCGCAATGGAAGAAAATAGGGAAGCTGCAGGGCGAGAAGTATGAAAAAAGAAAAAAGAAAGGCTGTGCCGGTAAGATACTACACTTAGATGCCCGTCGCTTAGCGATCAATCAAGCTTAAACATTTTGGGTCAACAGTTTAAAAACTGGTCGATCGCTGCAGAGGCGAACTGAAGGATATCATGCAATTGATTTGGGTCGACAATGAATGAAGCGCGAACGCTGGCCAAGAATGTAATAGGAAGGAGATTGGTTCTGCATCTGTGAATGGTTCTAATCGACTCGATATATAAAATGAGTTTGCGTTCTATGAATAATGAATTGCCGATCGAGGTCCAGAGTTTGACATTTTGATGCACGGAGGGTCACTTGATGACGGACAAGTACAGTGCAATGGTTGTGATCTGTCAGAAAATTGCCTCAAGTCTCTGAGTCGGGGTTAATCTTGTAGGCACGCCATGCTGCATTCCATATCGCCAGGCATTTTCGAGTCCTACTTCTTAGAATTGAAGGCATTTTTGAGAGACGGAGGGACTTGGTCTCTGATATTCTGTTGTGGATGTCGCTGAATCTATTAACGAACTCTGTCCAAACGTTGTCAAGGTGACCGTTGTTTGAGAATTCCCAAGCAGCTGCGTCGACGCGATCCTTCAATACGTGGTAGCGTGTGATTGTATGAGTTAGTTCCGAGGGTTCAGATGGATACTCTGCATAACACACATAGTTGAACGTTATTAATACATAGTCAAGGAGAACTAATTCACTATCCATCAATAACTTGTCAACCATGAACTCTTCATTCGAGTACACAAGGTCCAATATGGACGATTTGTTTGATGTCCAGAATCTAGTGGGCGTGGTGACATGAATGTACAAGGGAATATTAGCGGTCAGTTCATGCAATTCTGCTTTGTACTGCTCACTGGCTGATGCTGAATCCTCCAGATCATGCAGATTGAAGTCCCCGGAGATGAGAATGTGGCTGTACCTTGTGCGTGTTGCTCTGTACAGGCCACAGATCAAGCGAGAATCCATTTTCGGATTGGACATTTGGAGAGGTAAGCGACAATCACGGGATATGCGACGTTGTGTCTTAGTCGGTGACGGTACCAGAGTGAGTCGAGAACGTGTGTTTCCAGATCATCAATTATTGCACATTGCAGGTCGCTGCTGTAGTAGAATAGGACCCCACCTCCTCTGCTGGGGCCGTCGTTCCGGATGAGTGACATTCCGGCTACCTTAAACTCAGCATCAGTCACCACTTGGTGTAACGAAGTTTCGGTAATAGAAATTAGGTCCCAAGCATTCGCAACCTGACGTAGTCGAAATTCGATAAGTTTAATGAGGAGTTCTTGTGCGTTAGCGTATATACATGAGAGCTTCTCAGATATAAGTAATGTTTTGGAGGTTGTGCTAATCATACGTCAAGTTTCGCCGACCAGTGAGTGGCGAGCGAATATTCGTTTTTTCAATGTGTGTTTGGAGAAGGGTTCAACTTCTTACTCATCCTCCGTGTAGTTAGTCCCGTGTCTAATCTTCTACTTACGGCGTAAGTTGTTTGATGGATGTCATCTTCCACAGGTTCCATGGGCTCATGCAAGACAATACTGGTGCATTGTTCTTTTATTGATCCCAGCGGGTTTGGATCTTTGATTGACATATCATCACTAAGAGTCATATGGCTGACTGTCTTCAGTCGAAGCTCAGATGGTCGCATGCAACGGAACATGTGCCAGATTTTTAGCAGCCGTGCCACTGTGTGTTTTGACTGAAGGATCACGTTCAACACTCTCGGGCCACTTTCTTTGTAGTTCGGTGAGGTACGCAGTTGTGACGCGGATTTCACCAACTCATAATCCAAGCAGTGTTTCACGAATATAACCCCACTATGTTTTATCCTAAGTTGTTACTTCATGCTCACCACATGCTTTACTTTCAGGAACCCCGTGAAGATGCATGGTTCTGATTGAAGTTTGCTTCCGGTAGACTTTTAAGTTGTGGTTAACGCGATAACGCCCTTCTCATGTGATGTCTGGAAAGATACAAATGGAGCATTGTTCAATTCTGAGACTAATGATTCTACTACAGTGATGGAGTTCAGCACAATGCGCAGAAGTCTTGGCTCTCCGAAATACTTAGAGTTGGGGTGTCGTTTAATACACACTACCTGAACAGGTTTCAGTAGTACACCGAATAGGTTACTAATAATATCCTACTGGTTGAGGTCGTCCAACTGACTTCCTCTTATTGATGTCAACTTTGATTCTGGGATATTGGAGCACAGTACGCTCAGTACAGGTAGTTGTTTTTTCTCCTTTCGACTTGTCGCGATTGGTGTTTGAAATACTCGGAGATGTACCGCAGGAAACCGGTGGTGTTTGCACCAGGAAACCTCCGCAACACTCCTCAGTAACCGATTCATTTGGTGGTGAAGTGAATTTTAAATGACGGCTCCTCTTGGAAGCAACCGTTACCCAACTTTCGCTAGTACCGGCTTGCTTTTTTTCACGCACTCTGTCGGGAGTTTGGAAGTAGCTTTACGTGTACTTACTTCGAACGAACAGGGAACCGCTTTAGTCAAATGTGAGCCACGTGTTCTATTGGAACAGCTGTAGATGTTCTGGCCTCTAGGTGTCATGTTGCTTTCGGTGTTACTAAAAGTTCTTCTCGGAATAAGAGCAGCACTTACGGGGAAGGATTGGGTTGCACAGTCCGCTATGCTTATCCCAACCATAGTGATTTTGGTGGTCACCATTTCCTCAAACTTGGCTGGTAGCTGGCTTAATCCTACCACCTTGAATCACTTTTAAAATTCCTTCTCCTCTTCTCGGCTAGACTTCCCTTGTTGCCCTCATGTAAATAAAACAGGCAGCAGTGTGAAGCTGATCGATTATTCTTCCAACATCTTCATCCCTATTTCCAATATATCTTCTACAATTTTCCTCTTAATCACATACGCCTAGTGTACTTTCAAACCCAAACGTTTGATTCGGTCAAAAATACTAACCACGATCGCCTCAGACACAACCGATAACTCACCTATCCTATCTTTCTCGGCCTATGTGTACAGTTATTGAAATGAAAAGTAGTAACTATCTCCGTCTTTACAATCTTTATAATTCCACAATGTATAGAATTTGTGTTGCCTAATCAGATGCTACGTACTATAAATGTATAAAGGTTTCTCTTATCGCCATACAGTTGCACATCATCTTATACCCAAGGCATAGAGAACTTGGTCCCTCTGTACACAGAGTTCTCCGTCAGGACGCCATGAATTATTCTGTACCCATTAATGACATTTTAACTGGACAACTATGGATATTAAAAAGCATGATTTATATTTATGCCTGACATTTGAAATATGCTAATTATAATAAGAAGCAAGTGTAAAATTTTGGTCAAACCGAAATCATATGTCTTACAAACCCGATAATAGACATTATTTTTATCGTAGCATACACTTTGGAATTAGGCCTGTTTTAACTATGCGAAGCAAATCGTTGTTGGAGAGTTGACTCAATAGACATATGTGCTAGTTTTGTTAAACAAGATCCCCCAGTGCCTTGATTAATCGTAGTCAGCTTCCGCATTCGTTGATATAGAAACAAGGTGTGTAACTAACTCACCCATTAAATAATCATCTTGTGGTATTCCTGTTTCGACTTTGAACACTCTGTGCTCGAGTGAAGAGTTCAGACTTTGCATGAATGAAAGGAAAGAAAGTATAGATAAGTAAAGATTAAATCCACGACTTTGCTTTGAATGTTTTTCCGAATGCATCAATATATTTATGTTACGGCATGTTTGGTAGTGACAGTTTGTCTCAGGGAAAGCATCACCAACAGTCAGTTTCTACGCACAGTCGATCCTTCACTGCTTAATACTAATATGTATGTTACGAATTGCTGACGGACGAAAAGACGAAGAGTAATCTCATTTTGTATGTTGTTGGTAGGCGCACACGATCAACTAATCATCGATGCAGCTGCATTCGATACCCTTTTGAGCGCATGTTTTAATTGTATGTCTGACGGTCTGTTGCGCGTCCCAAACCACAAAATCGAACAGGTGAGAGTCGGTGTTCAACTGGGCGGTTTTCTCCCAATCAGGTAAACTGGTAATGGTTCGGGCAGTCAAGTGAACGACTGGCTGCGCAGTTCCAAACAGTTATTTCAGTCGGTCAGTCGGGTCAGTTCGACCTCACTAGTATTCTTTCAGGTTTGATGACATGTTAGGAACGTGCATCTTGTAATATTACGAATCGAATGTTAACTATCAACGAAATGATGTGACTTTACCAATGGGGTGGTACGGATTGTTCGAAAGAAGGTAGCATAGTAGAAAAAGCTATCTGCACAGTTATTCTACTTGACCAAGCAATCCACTTGTTAGAAACACAGGTACTTCCGGAGATTTGATCGAGCTGCAATATTGGGGCCGTTTGCATGAAGTTGTTTGCACACAAAAACAAACAAACCAACTAGTTTGCATTCAGGCACAATGGACTTACAGGTGATTTGGTTCGACGGCAACCTGGAATGAAGTGAATGACACGCTTGCTATTTGTTATAGAAATTGACGTCTTTACGCAGGCCGTACGTGAGTGAAAAAGTTAATATTAATACCTAAAATTCGAACTGAAATACTTATCTATCTGAATGGGCTTGAATTACGGAGATCGTAATCAACATCAACCGTAATTTATCAGTCGCGCTTAGCTTCTACCATCTAAGTGCAAATAGTTCCTCCAATATTGAACTGGACCGCCTCCTGCGCTGACCCTTGGTGAAGATCAGCTAGAAGTCGTTCAAAAATTCAAGTACCAAGGAAGTTGTACCAGCGACTGTGTGATAGAACACGAGATGACGAACCGTATAAAAAGGAACTCGAAGCGCTTTCGCTAACCTTCGCCACTTATAGCGCTGGCGCAACAACCCTATCGCTCTGAAAGGTAGTGTTTATAATACGGTGGTGCGTTCGACTCTACTGTACCGTAGTGAAACTTGGCCCCTCAGATCAGCCGATATAAAGTGACTAGTTACCTTCCAACACCGGTGCCTTCGCTGTTTGTTGCACATCTGGAGGGAACACCGAGTGAGCAACGCACGTCATCGACGCCTTGCTTACTTCACAGGAAATGGAAATGAACCGCTCAGAATCGTTTCTACATGCATCAAGCTCCGATGGCTCGGCCAAATGTTGCGCATGCCAGCGCACCGGCTCACGCGACGTGTGCTGTTTGCGCACCGGGGGCGTGAATGGAAGAAAAGGAGAGGTGGCCAAGCGATGAATTAATGGAGAGGAATGTAGGCTCTGATTTCAAATCTGGCCTTGATTGGAGCGTCTAGGCTCCCAGATTGGGAATACAGAGACCATGAACATATTTGGCTGGATACACTAGCGGATATGGCTAGGGGTGGACCACAATGGCATACCTTTTGTGAGTTTATTTGTCCCACCCAATCGCTACTCCTTCACCTACGTTCTAACATCTTAATCTCATATACTGTCGCATAATAACATTTTTCTGCTGCATAATAGCCGGCTGGTAACTTTTCTTACCGTTGCCCATCCATTACTAGTAGCTCATCCAGCATGCATCTGTTACACGTGTTTTTAATTTTTATGTATTGTGGCACAGTAGCGGAGGTGGTTACCAACCAGCTAACGTGTATACTGAGTATAAGGAAACTGTAAGTCCAAATTTCCCTAGGAAGTTATACTTTATCTTATACATATCATATTTATTTGTTGCGTATTACATAGCCATATGAGCAGAATATTCTAAGACATACGCAACTGAGAATGACACACTGTTTGCATTATCAAACAACTAATTATGTAACCCTTCTCATGCATTACTAGATATCAGAAGTATATGAGCTTCCTGAGGACCATCTGCCTTGTCAATGGATAACTGATTGGACATAATCAATGAAATAATGTTTTACATCATAAGTATAGATTTAAAACTTCTTTTCTCGAATCATAGTTGGGATCACAAGTCTTATTAGTGGTACTGATAAGCTGACTATTAAGTTTTCCTACTCAACTACTTGAGATAAAGAGTGTGCCTTAATTATAATTTGATGGGGCCTCTATTGTTGCTATTGCTCTTCATAATTTAGGGAACATCAGTGAATCGGTCTACGTCACAAACAACCCACAAATCTCTATCGTATGTTATCCATTGTTGACTTTTCGTTTAATTCGCGCATAGCACAGCTTTAGGTTTGTCTACTTTATAATCAGGATAGGAATTAAGTTCACCAATTATAAGTGTCATTTTGGTCAACAATGCCCTCACTTTGTCTGCACTGAGTGATTAACCTACAAAGTTGGATTTGTGCGATGTAGCGAATCCTGAGCAAAGGGAATTATGTAACAGTGATATGCATACAATACAAAATGTTTTTGTTCACGTAACCAAGAGTTACGATAATACACTCAGACTGGGAAGCCGACATCAAGAAGAAAACGTAACAAATATGTTCAAGATCTCGGAGGCTATGAAAAGAAAGGACGCAAGCTTGCGCGTGATGGCATAATAAAGCTGAATCTTAAAACTATGATTTTACTACTGTAACTGCTTACCATAAATTCTCTGTCAGGCGTTCCTATGTCGATGTACGTCGGTGAAATCATGAACCTGAGCATGCAAAAATTAATGTCTGATAAAACAAGCAGCCAACATGTATCTGACTCGTCGGCTCATTAACACCGAAGAAATTAATAGTACACAGCAGACTACAGGTTGTGTTATCTCAAATTTTCCCGACAGGCTGTATTACAGCTTACGGCTCTGCGCGAGCATACGGTGCTCTTAGACTGTGTATTATATATTACTGCAAATGTGGATATTTCGTTCGTATACACACGGACTGTGTACTCTCAAATAGCAAAATAATCCGTACAGTTCCTCGGATATGATCAGAAATAAATTATCTTATTTGGTGAATATGTCCTACTGCGTCGAAAGCAATCTTTGATCAACCCTGTTGTCAGGTTATGCTACAGCACATTAGGTATACTGGACAGAAAAGTGGACAGAAAAGTGAATGCGTAAACGGTCTATTTGCCTAATGGGAATAATTAATATCAAAACAGTGAAAAGAAAACGTGGTGATACATTGCAGATAATTTTCTTAGGTTCCCTATAATGTACGTAAGGGACATATGAGTAACTGGTGGTTTCGTTTAGGTAATATAATGCTTATCGTTGCATCATTTTAATGCTTTATTGTTTATCCAATAAACCGGCTACACTTCCTTTGTGTGGAAGGAGTATGCTAGATTCAATGGGTTTGTTGAAAACTTGGTTATTGTTCCTCAACATCTGGTAGACAGTTATTAGGTCGCCAGGTACGTGTCGTTACTAACCGTTTTAAAAATAGTTTGGAGCTTAGTTTGATCTGTATGGTAGAAAAATTCTTTCTGTGTCTTGTACCACGTTTCTGTGTATATTAGAGATCTACGATATCGTTTTTGGGTCACAACAGCCAGGCGTGCATTGTGTATTCCACATGAGAATACATTTAATTTTATGTATCTGCATGGGGAGAGAGATGTTTCAAAATGTCCCATTGCCCTCAGCGTGATGCACATACTAGATATGGGACAATGGTATTAGAATAAACATTCGGATCGTTACTCATACCCATAAAAATTGGACGAAGCAATGAAAAATGTAATGACGTCTATACATTTTCCAACGTTGGACAGAAAAAAGCCAAGTAAGCTCAAATACTCAGGAGGCACTACAAGCTCTCGTGTTGTCACTTTTCTCATAAAGCTTTCTCACCGAGAGCGCAGCCGAAATGCACAGCGGAAAGCAGTTAAAGGACCCTTCTTTGATGAGCTACTTACCGAATTAGTTCGTCGACATTTGTCCCCAAACAACTGGCCGTGGTTAATACCAATGTGCTGTGGATCAGTACACCCGTACAAGTTCTCGGGTCCGGTTCCGATTTGGTTATCCTGACTAGCCAAGTGTACTGAAAGGTGGACAACTTTGTGCCCCCAAATATGCGCTTTTGCAGTGTTGCTCGAGTAGCTGTAATAGGAGAACACATGATGTTTGATGTAAATCCAATAAGCTTCAGTTCAGGTGGAGAACGATGACAATTCCAGTCGCACTTCACCATCTCTCGGTTAACTGCACGACGGAATGCATGTACTCTTTCAGACTGCGTAGGTGTGACGCAAACACTAGGAGCATTAGTAAATATTAGAGGGCTTAGTATATATTTGTGAAGATTCGTCGCATCCAGATTCAGCCAGGCAGTCAACACACATTCAGGAAAGTATTTTTCTCTAATTACAGTGAACTTCTGGCTGTCTCTAGTTGTGACCAAACTCCTCCCACAGAGTACGAGTATTCTAACACAAATTGCCACTGACCTGCGTATTTCTAACTGACGCTGAAAGAGCTGAACAACTGAGAGGACAAATGTTAGATCGCATGCTCATCGTTTACATTCGCATCGTTTGCCAGAATATGTGCAATACAGATTTAGAGGAAGACGGCCAAGGAAGACTTAGACCGTTCTTACCTACAACATTACGTTTGAATGAATCTTCAACATAAATCATTGACAGAAAGGTAAACAGTGCGCGAAAATTATATGTGATCCCGAGGAAAACGGGGAAAAACGGTGCCTTTCAAATGGAACCATGAAGAGTAAATAACCGAAATATGTCTTACCAACATTGATGGTGATGAGAAGCAGCCAATTTCCGAAATTCATCTTCCTGAAATAAAATGAATATGGGTCGGTGTGAATGGGAAAATGCTTTAGGAATATATAAAGTGCACGTGCAAGAAAACATTTACAGCGCAATGATACAACACTCGAATATGTACATGAAAACGGACGTAATAAGTTATGTCGTCCACTGTAAAGCTTACCAACTCTAAAGAGCGACAACTAGACCGGTGGTTGAAAGATGCCGATGGCAGTCTCTTTCTAGCTTTTATATACCCTTAGAGATTGGTCAATTGAAGAAGCACCACAGACAAACTGGCTCAAAAAATCAAAAAAACTAACGATGCGTGTTCATTGGTCAATGCGTGTGACTTGTGTTTAGTTGTCGCTTAGCTGAGCTACTGACATTCAACTAGAGATCCACTGCACGCACTTTCAACCAAGTGTACAAATGGCGGTTTGTGATCAAGGTACTGCGTTCGTAATTAGCCCACAAAGCTGAAGTAAACGGGAAAACCCACGCTGCTTGTAACTGCTTCAGAGCTGTGACTGTTGCATTATTCACCTTACAGTTTAGATGCCATAGAAATAAAATATCAGCACTGGTCAACGACCCCTTCAGTACAACGGCGGTATAACTGATCCAAAATGCCGGCTTACTCAAAGAAGCTAAAACAACCAGTGGTCCAACGACATCGGACCATTCGTTGATGCGTAACTCAGAACAGGTACCAACTACAGCATCAGCGGCCTTACAATGTAAGATGTTGTTCCTAGTTTTCAGTTGTTCTCGGTAAAGCATGTTGGTGAAATGTAAATCTAGCAACATTTTGAACTGCTCTATAGAACGCGCCTCTACGACTTGCTCTAGCAAACTGTTCCAGACATATTCAACCACTGTTCAAAAGAAAGGGATGGAGGACTCGTGTTATTTTTGGCACCACCAATTTGTGCCGATGATTGCACTTGCTGTATGGCTTTCGCAAATGAAACAGCGGCTGCAACATTGGGATGTCACCACGATATACTAGGCGGTAGGTCAAAATGAGATCGACTCGCTCCCGACCATAGAATAAGGTGTAGTTTCCCGCATCCATCTTTGTACGGCAATGCTTTAAAACCCGGAATGGGCCTCGTAGCGACCTGCTGCACCCATTCGTACTTTTGTGTCTCATCAAGGGTGATTGGCTAGTGGGCGGGCGGGCCGTACACTAATATTGGTCTCACGATGGAGAAGAAGTAGCGAGTGGCCACATCTTCAGATCAAGCACAGAAGCATGCGCTGTCCACCATAAAATAGCCAATACCTATAGTGCTCGGACTTCAAAAGTACCGACAGGTCCTTGGCGGATGGCGTAAGACGTAATAGCGGGACTTCACCGGTGTAATTTGGTTACACACCATCCCTCCTCAAGTGCATGGATACGGCATTGCCTGGCTTGACTGGGAGGGTGAAAATTGCAAACCGCATGGGGAGGCGAGTTAGGTCGTAATAACGTAGGCTGTATTCATCCATTGCACTTATTACTCTTTACCTCCTCAAGTCGACCTCATACAAGATACAAAGCAAACAAAGAAGTTGGGGTAGATCACTGATAAGAATTAGGAAAAGTGAGAGCCCCAGCACCATGCTTTCGGGTACGCCATCACTAGAGGGATGCTGGTCATTTAGCTGGAAGTACAATCATACCACCTCCGACTAAAGTGGATGGTATGGACGGAAATGAAGCCAAGTCGTGTTGGCATCAGCAGTTCTTTGGATTGGGGCAGCTGTAGTAGAGCTTTCCTATAGGTCTTTCCAGCTATCTTGACCAATATAGGCATCAGGTAACTAGACTGTATTTGTTCACCTTACTAGAATTATAACCTTTCTAAAACGGCTTTAACGCTGATCATTTATATTTTCCCGGTAATTAACCTTGGGCCAGTGACCAGTTAAACAAGTAAGACACTGAAGGTGCAATGATGGTCACACGGACATGCGTATAAGTGCAGTCCGTCAGGACCATTACGTTGTTTTGACGGTAACTTTGGCTAGCAGCTGACACACCTGTTCAACTACGTAAACCAGAGTGACGTTTATGGTAAGCGCGGTGCACGTCGAAATCGGTACAGCCACCAGAACAGAGGCTAACACGGAATAGAAATGCGCCACCAAAGACGACACAAGCTTAGAGCTGGATGTTAAGTGCTGTCTGTCCGAGCTCTTTAGCACTGGGAAATCACTTGCCGGATTCAAGCACCGCTTCTCGGAAGCAAAGAATGTTTTCATGGCGGTCTTTGTGGCTGTTGCTTGTTATTCCTTCAAATATCAGTGCTGGATTGTCTTGCCCTGTTTCCTTTATTTTCCTGCCTTTTTTACGCCTCGTACTCGCAAGGACAGTCAGAGAGGAGGAAGTTGTCACACAATTTGAGCAGCCGCATAACCATTTCGCCATACTTTATGATCAAATTTGACACTACATTGTTCAAAGTGTGAATACAATAATGCTGAGTCCCCTCTTCTAACAGTCCAAAAGTTTCTTTCAGGTGCAGCTCAAGACGGAGATTAATCCATTTGGCTAGCGGCTCGAGTAAGACCGTCGAAGTCACTATCCCAGTTGTTAAGAGTTCACTGTAGCGTACGGGAACAGGGTTAAGCTGGATCCATGCTGGCTGTGAGCACAGGGTGATCGCTTGCTGCAAAGTGCTCTAGGATCTGTTTGTCATACACATCTTGTTCACAGACTGTTAACGTTGTTTAAACACGATGGAATTGAACAATTCTTCATAGTTATCCGTTCGTATGGGTTGCGCTTTTCCACTTTCACTTACCAAATCTAGTAAGTATGCTTCCACCTCAAAATGTCCGGAGAAGGGTTGCACTGCAGGTTGGCATACTCTAAGTTAATTGAAATCACGATTGGGTAGGAAATAAATACGACGCATGTGGCCTCGGAGATGCGACAACTATTCCAAAGAAAGGCTTAGGGGAACGCGATGAACTGCACCCAGTAGCGGCTCTCAGAGCCTAAATTAGATTGACTGACACAACTGGTCACACAGGCCATCGTCCCTTCTGTAGACGTTCACAATGCTTCCACACAGGAAGGAAGGACATCCAAGACATCCACAAAAGCAGTCGATATTGTGTCGTAGGGGGAGCATGTAAAGCCACCGAGCTCGATGTCTTGTGCAGTCACCATAAAATTCAGCCCTTGGTGCAAGTTCCTCTACTTCCAGCCATTCAATTGCAACTAATAGATAGATTACATTGCGTCTGCTCATAAATCTAAATATGTTGCTGAAGGATGCACGCAGGCCGCCTTAGAAATCGCCGGGTCTGCATAAATTGTGAGTGCGGTGTTTATCATGTTTCTTGAAAGCTTGGATACTATCGGAATAGGTATAATACAGATGGTTGTTTCCACATCACCTTTTCGTCTCTTCAGCTCAATAATGGCAGGCGGGAGCCTTCTTCGATCCACCGGATCCAAGTCTAAACAAGGTTGAATTTTCCAACCTTTCAGCTTATTTAGTTGGGACAGTATAAATTTCGGACTGCCATCGTCCACCGATCTGCTTCATATGGTATGATTTTTTTAATGCCCGCTCCAAAACCGGTAAAGTTCCTCACTTTCAGACCGCTCTCAACCAAACCGAGGAATCTGTCAATTTGTCTCGGTACAAGCCTGACGTCCTGATCGTAGGGTACATGAGGAGTTAAATCCCTGGACTGCGGCAGATGGGAGTTTCTAAAGATCAAAGTCTCCGGTCAACCAGGTTTGATTATAAGGGCGAAGATTTTATCGAGCTTCTCATACTTTGGCCTGCCGTTTTACTTTCCCGTGTCGTCAGTACCCAGGCCCTTACACACTGAGTTATCTGTACTTGCAGGATACCACACGGTTAAATGATTCGTGTCAGGTGAAATTTGACTCCCTGTCACAGTGGAAATTCTTGCCGATGAGTTTGTTCGGGACGAACTGCAAGGATTATTTGGAACCTGGATGCGCTTGGGGCTGGCCTGTTATGCCAAACAAACTGAACTGCTCGTAATGAAATAATTCAGCCTACAACACGGTCTGTGATTCTGCTCTACTTCCTACGCATGTATCTCAATTCTGCAATCAGTACACAAATATTGAACAAACTCATGTTGGATTTCACAATGATGTTGAAAGTGTTCAACCGACGGCCCAAGGTACGAATTGTGGCATTTAACACAGCACATGACAAAAAAGCTTGATTTCCGACAACTTGTTATCTGGCGTTCCAAGATGAATATTTCGGCAACATGAATAATTCGAGATCAATATGGGGATCAGTTGTGGAGCATAAAGCGATAATAAGATATTAAAAATTAGATAGAAGAAATACAGTTGTGTAATGTTAAAATATATAGAATCATGGTTGTAAACCGAAAGCTAGAGTAATTTCCACGAACTTATTCAGATTCA